AGACACCAAACCTTCACCCCTTTCCAAGGCTGAAAAGACGATAGGGATGGAAGTGCAGACTCCATTTCTTAAGTTTGGGGTTATTTTCTCTAAATTTTCAGCCACAACAGAACCAAAGGTAACAATTCTGAGTTAAGGAAAGAAAGAACTGTTGAGTATAAGAGCCCTCCAGCAGTGTGCCTTTCTGCTGGCACAGTGAATGTACCAGAATTACCTTTTATAAAAATGGTCATTTCTGATCACTGTTCATTTATTTATTAGCCAGAGTAACACACCCACAACCAACACAGCCAAGCCCTGCTTTTAGAAAATTAGCAAATATGAAAAAGGTCCTCTTGGTAACATTTCCCTCCCACCCTCATTCTCAAAATTACAGCTAAAGTCCAGACTCAAGAACAGTATCACAAGGACATTTTCAAAGGTCCAACCAGCACTTCATTGCAGTTTTTTCCAAACAGACACTTCATGCTGCTACAGTATCACTTATCTGGGGTAAACTACAGAAACTGGGATATCACTGTTTGTACTTCTTGTCTGCTCTTTTTAGAAAGCCAGACATTCTTGAGTTGCAGCTGCTGGAGTGCAAGGCAAGTGCTCTGACCCTGTCTGAGGGTGTCCAGGCAGCTGCTTGTGCCAGCAGGAGGAAGGTCCTGCAATTCCCAGTTTCCCCCCTTGCTGACCTCACCAGCCATCTCTGGAAGTGGACGGATTCTGCCCAGCAGAATTTGCAACCAGCAGTACAGAAATGCACTAAAAGACACTAATACTGACAAGGTCAGGTTTCTGTTTCCATGAGCAACTCAATCCAGTTGGAGCTCACACATTCAGTAACTGTGGTAAAGCACGCTGGGTACAAAAAATAACCAAACAGTGTAGCAAGATCCAGGAGCTTGGAAAGGAATAAATTAGGAATCACTAGAACCACTAAACTTCTTGGGCCTGTCCCCTGGTGAACTGCAAGTTCCCATCTGTCCCAGTCAGTCTCTGTCTCAGCCCTGTCCCAAGGGAGAGGTGCCTCTGCAGGTCAGTCCCTCTGACCCCACAGGCTAGAAGGAGGCTGGCCAGCAGCAGAGCATGGCCACAACTCAAGGTGCCAACAAGGTGGAGAAGAGTAGGAGCCTGTTAAAATTAACAGCATGTGAGCTAGTCTTGGATAGAGAGAAAAACCCCCAAGAGGCAGATGATTTTCCTGCTACAGACAGCCATCATCAGGGAAATGGGGTATCTTGCCAGTCACCTGATAGTGCTTAATTTTCAGGGGAATCTTCAGCATTAGATCTCATTCTGAAAATTAAAAAAAGGCAAGTAACACTGCCTTTAACCAGTTCACCAAGTAACAACTCCAGACATCTCAGAGAGAACAGGGAGGGGTTTGGAGGGAAGCGGGATGGAATGCCAACCCCTTCCTCTCCCCTCTGTGAGAAGATCCCCACCAGGATCCCCTCCGCTGCCAGCACGACTTAAGGGGCACTTCACCAACCATTCCGTGGCAGTCCTTTCCCAAAGTTGTCTTCAGTGTTGGTGCGGACCAGAGGCAAACCCTGGGGCCGTGCCGGGCTAGTGCGGGCGGCTGCTGGACTCGAGGTGGGAGCGCTTGCCGGCCGCCAGGACAGCGGCGCTCTCCGCCTGCTCCGGGAACGGCCGCTTGTAGGTGCGGCCGTGCCCGTTCAGCGCCCCCCGCTGCCACTTGCAGATGTCCCCGTTCAGGATGTCCTGAATGTGCTGCACGATGAGGTTTATGGCAACTGCAGAGAGGAACGGGGAATAGAGGACATGAAGGATCTCCTGGTTGAGTTATCTAGAAAATGTGGAGCATCCAGCTCTGCTCCTCAAGTTTTAACAAGCCCCTTAAATGAAACTCTGCCTGTTGTCTGCACTGAGGTCAGACCTCAACAGGTCACTTGTCCAGCCCTCCACAGGCTGAGCAGCTGGTCCTTCTGGCCAGGCTGAGCAGCTCCCTCCCCTCCAGCAAAAATCCCCTCCTCAGGAGCAGGCACTCCAGGCAGCAGGCTGCCTCCTGCTCTATTCCCAACCCCAAAGGTGTCTCCCCAGGGAAATCAGGAACCCAACTCCCTTTTACCCATGTTGTCAACGCCTCTGGGGATGATCACATCCGCATACTTCTTTGTCTGCAAAACAGAAACAGTGGTAGAGGAGGCTGTTAATGGGAAAAGTCAGCTTCATTCCAGGAAGAAACAAGCAAAGGCCAGAAAACTGGGCAAAGATGGAAGGTCCTGGGTGCTCCAGGGTTTTAAGTTAAAGCTCTCTCTCTCATTCCAATTCAATTCCAGTATCACACTGGTAAATGTGCACTGGATTTAAGCTCAGGGATTCTTCTTACTGTCCCTTTTACCTTTCACCAGGTAAAAACAGCAGGTCAGGTGTGGAGTCCTTTGCTTTTACCCATTTGAGCTGCCTTCACACATTGCCCACGTCAGGCAAGGTCTGTTTTGCCAAGAGCTGGTTTTAATCAGCATTTCGCAAGCCATTGCTAAATCTCTGCTGAGAGCCAAGGTATCCAATGTGCATGTGAAATTCCTGCCTGCCTCTGATAACATTTCATTGATCTTTACCACCACAGCACTCCTGCTTTTTCTTTCCCCCCACAGCTGAAAAAAAGCTGGCAAATTCAGCATTTCTAATGAGTAGTTTTACAATCCCGGAATTCCTTTGATCTAGAACAAGAGGCACCTGAGCTAGCCTTTTCCAATTTATCCACATACAGGATTTTGTTCTCAAAGGGTTTTTTACAAATTAATTTGATTATTTGAGTACCTAAATTGGCCTCACACTACATAGTGTAGCAAGCAGAGCTAGAATGGTCTGCCCAGTGTTCCCTTTGAGACAGGCTGATGGAAACCAAGCTTTTCTTTCTTCCTACAAGGCTTAAGAATAAACTGAGAGTGGGAGTCTTTCATTCAGAGAGACCCATACTTAAATAGCCCCAGCAGCCAGCAATGAGGCATTTCCATGGTGCTTTGCCAGCAGAAGGGACCATTTCAGTTCCTTAACAACCAGCTTGAAATGGTTGAAGACATGAAGCAGAGAACGTGGGATTTGTGAAATACAAATACCAAAAGTCACCACTGCTGCCCTTACAGCAGCTAAATCCCAAACAACCCTGCTCCTCTACCCCTCCCAAAAAAAAGAACACCCCACAAATGAAATCAGTGAGAGGCTTCGTACCGGTAAGCAGAACTCCTCAAAGGCAGGCTTGACAAACGTGGTGTACTGGGTGAGGATCTGCTCCAGGTCCCTCCCACGCTTCATATCTCGCAGAACTGGGGCGGGGAGATAAAAGCCCTGAGTGCTGTCCCATGGAGGGGACGGATAAGGAGCAGGGGCACGGCGGGGCTCTACCTCTGCGGGACAGCCGGACGTCGGAGTCCGTGTCCACAAAGAGACGCAGGTGGAACATGTCCCGAATGTCCTGGTTGTAGAAAACCAGGATGCCCTCAAAGAGGACAACGTCAGCAGGATACACCACCGTCGTCTCTGCCAGCCTGCCAGGAGAGAACACCCAGAGCCTGTTCAACGGGCCTCGTGCCACCGCCAAGGGAACCGTCCCCGGGCTGGGGACACCCCCACACAACGCAGGGCTTTGGACAAAGGCAGAGCCTACCTAGAATGTGTCACGAAGTCGTACGTTGGCACCTCAACCGTTTTGCCCTCAACGATGTTTTTCAGGGTTGAATGCATCAAATCGTTATCAAAGGCATCTGCGAGAGGAAAGTTCAAAGAGAAGGACTTTCAGACGCTGTTGTACCAAATGACCTGCTCAGATTTTTCCAGACCTAAAGGAAAAACCCTCTGACCAGTATTTCACCAGGAAAAAAGGAACTTGCAGCCTATTCTTTCCTACCACTAGCAACACAGCACTCTCAGCCCAAGTGACAATGGCTGTGTTTGGTTTCAGAGATAAGGAAGAGACAGTTTGCTGTTCACAAGCAACTACAACACAATGAAATTAAGAGCTCAAAGGTGAAGCTGGTAATTTTATAATTTTATCAACCTGCTTAGTAATTGCATAATTTTGTGCAGCTTTGTTCAGCTGTTAGTCAGGAGCCAACTGGAAAACCCCAGGCATCTTTCATGGTTTCCATTACCCACCCAAGAGGAACCAGACTTCAGCCAAGGGCAGCTCCCTGTCCCGCCTACAATCCACAGCACTCCCCCAGGCAAGGGGAGCAGCTGTTTGTGTGGACAAGAAGTAACAGGAAAGGATCTGGGGAATGATGTGGTTCACTAAGGAACCTCTCAAGAGCAGGGAGCGCAGCAGGGAGCAGGCTGGGATGCTCCGCACCCCTCCACAGCTCATCAGTAACAACGGGCACAAGGGAAGGACAAATGGATGTTCTGGTGGGGGAAAGCACATTTCTGTCCTCCAACACTTCCCATTTCCTACAGGTGCTTCCCCTGAGCCCCAGCTGCTCTCCAAGCACGGACCGAGCCCTGCAGGGGCCGGGCCGGTGCGCGGCTCACCCGGGTGGTCGAAGTTGTACTGTCCCTTCAGCGCCTTGGCCTGCTGCTCGGCCGTCAGCACCTTGTAGAAGCTGTCCTGGCTGAGGATCAGCACCTTGCGCTGCCGCTGCTCCACCTCGTTCTGCCCCAGCAGCTCCATGATCTTCTCGCACACTGTGGACTGAGCGGGACGGGGGCTCAGGCGGGCCGGGGGGACCCCGACCCTCCCCGCGGCCCCCAGCCCGCCCTCCGCCCGGCGCCGGACCGGCGATGCCCCTGCGGGCGCCGCGCAGGTCCCGCGCCGCGCGGGCTGCCCTGCGAGCCCCGGCACGGCCCCGGCACGGCCCCGGCACGGCGGGCTCACCTTGCCGCTGGCGGTGCCGCCGCTGACGCCGATGAGGAAGGGCTTGGGGTGCGGCCGCTCCGCGTCCGGGCCGCCGGCGGACGCCATGGCGGGATGGACGGCGGGGGGCGGGGCCGGAGACGGAGCGAGCGGGGGCGTGGCCGGTAATTGGGCGTGGTGACGAGGGGGCGTGGCCATGTGCGCTGAGCGCGTCCGGCCTCAGCCCCGGGGCCGGAGCAGCGGCACGGACAGGCGGACAGATGGACAGGCGGACAGATGGACAGGCGGACAGATGGACAGGCGGACAGATGGACAGCCGGACAGGCGGACAGATGGACAGCCGGACGGCTCTGCCTTGTTACAGACAACGCTGTCTTACCCAGGCCCTTGTGTGAGCGTGTGTGTGAGTGCGCGCCGGTCCCCGGCTGTGTGTCTGACACCTGTTACCTGTGTTTTACACCTGTACACACGTGCATGTGTACACCTGTTCCTGTGTGTGTTCTACACCTGTACCCATGTGCTGTGTGTACATCTGAGCCGTGTGTGTGACACCTGTTCCGGGTGTGTTTTACACCTGTTCCTGTGTGTGTTCTACACCTGTACCCATGTGTACATCTGTGCCGTGTGTCTGACACCTGTTCCATGTGTGTTTTACACCTGTACCCACATGCATGTGTACACTGTTCCGAGTGTTTTGTACCTGTACCCATGTGTACATCTGTGCCGTGTGTCTGACACCTGTTCCATGTGTGTTTTACACCTGCACCCGCATGCACGAGTACACTGTTCCGAGTGTTTTGTACCTGTACACATGTGCATATGTACACCTGTTCCGGGTGTGTTTTACACCCCTACCCGTGTGTTTTACACGTGTACCCATGAGCATGTGTACACCTGTTCCAGGAGTGTTTGACACCTGTTCCTGTATGTGTTTGACACCTGTTCCGTGTTTTACACCTGTTCCATGTGTTTTACACCTGCACCCACGTGCATATGTACACCTGTTCCCGTGTGTTTTACACCTGTTCCTGTGTGTTTGACACCTGTTCTGGGTGTGTTTTACATGTGCATGTGTACACCTGTTCCCCTGAGTTTTACGCCTGTACCCACGTGCGTTTGACACCTACATCCACATGCATATGTACACCTGTTCCATGTGTGTTTTACACCTGTTCCTATGTGTTTTACACCTGATCCATGTGTGTTTTACACCTGTTCCTGTGTGTGTTGTACCCCTGTTCCCCTGAGTTTTACGTCTGTACCCACGTGCGTTTGACACCTATACCCACGTGCATATGTACACCTGTTCCCGTGTGTTTTACACCTGTTTCCGTGTGTTTTACACCTGTTCCTATGTGTTTTACACCTGTTCCTGTGTGTGTTGTACCCCTGTTCCTGAGTACAGGTGTGTGCAGAGCGCGGTACACGGGAACTGTGAAGAAACACCTGAAGGTACACCACAGAGACACCAGGACACATCAATGCACATATGAGTAAGACACGTACACACTGCGTGCACACACATCCTGTGCGTGGGTGCGACAGCGATATCCACACACACACATTTTAAATATTAATAGCTCTAGCTACAGTACCCAGAATTTTATACACATTTTGTGTATAAACAGATCCGGAACACACACCACACTCTACATGCAAATACAATATTCTAAAAATAAATTTTTTTCTAAACCAAATCATACGTTTAAACAGGAACAAACTGAAGGTTCTTGACTGCTCTGTGCTCCATGGGCCGGACCCCGGACCCCCGGGCCAGCCCCGTTTGCTCCCCGGTGCTGCGGGCCGGTGCGGGGCGGCGCCGGCCGCAGGCCCGGGCAAACAGCGGGTCAATGATTAACCGGCCCGGCTGCGCTCCCGCCGCCCGCGGGGGCCACGCGGGGCTCGGGGGCCGCGGCGGGGCCGGACCGGGCCGGGCCCCGAGCGGCGGCAGTTGGGACCCCGCGGGCACCGGCGTGAGTGGGGCAGGGATGGGGCGCAGGGGGGGAGCACGAGGGCGGCCCCATCGCACCCCGACCCTGGGGTGACCGCTCGGGTGGGTGTCCCGTCCCACCAGAAGCTCCCTGTCCCCGCAGGCCTCTCCGCGGATGGACGCTGAGCCGCCAGCCGGGCCCCAGGCCCGCGACCCCGCCGGGCGGGGAGCGGAGCCGGGGGACGGCAGCGGGGCGGCCGCGGGGCTGCCCAGCCCCGGCACCCGCAGAGACGCCCCCGCGGCCCCCGGGGACAGGCCCGTGGCCGTGTCGGTGGTCACCAACTCAGCCTTCGAGGGGGCCCCTCCACCCTACTCGCCGCCGGACCCCAAGAGCTTTCACCTCCACTACCCGCCCTACCCAGCCGGCTACTCCCAGCAAGGGCCCGTCATTTACCCGTCGGGGCCTGGACCGCGGCCCTTCCCAGCCCCGGGCTTCCCCCCCGGGCCCCTGCCCTACAGCCCGGTACGTATCCCGCACCCCGATGTGTTCCGGCCCCGCTCTGCAGCGGGGCTCGCCCCCTCTCTCCCCCGCCGGGTCTGTGGGGTTCCCGCGGTGCCCTGAGCAGGGAACCCCGGGCGGGAGCACGGCGGGCCTCGCTCTAACCACCCCGTGCCGCAGCACCCCGCGCAGCCGGGCGCGGGGCCCTCACCCGCGGGCCACGGGCACCAGCGGCCCAAGGACTACACGGTGGAGTCGGTGCTGGTGACCCTCTTCTGCTGCGTGCTCACCGGGGTCATGGCCCTCGTCTACTCCCACGAGGTAAGCAAGGACTCACCTGGCGGCCTGGAAGCCCCTCATGGTGCTGCGGGTCTCTTCTAAACCCTCCTCTTCTCCCCCTGCCCCAGACCCGGGCTGCGCTCGCCCGTGGGGACGTGGCCCAGGCGTACGTGGCATCCAGAAAGGCGCAGTCACTGGTCCTCATCAGCCTCCTCTTCGGGTTGTTCGCCTCCATCAGCTGGATCATCTACGTCCTGGTGTCCCTGTACCTGTGACAAGGACCCTGAGCCCCAGGGACGCGGCGTGTGCCAAGAACTCCTTGTGGCTCGCCACCTGAGGGGGGGTGTGGGGCACGGGCAGGTGAAGTTGACACAGCCTTGTGTGGAAATGGGTGACAACGAAGAGTTTTTGGGGCTGCGGGGTAGCGTCCGTCCTTCCCGGCGGGGCGAGGAGCTACCCCAGAGCCTTCAGCCATCTGCTCAGCCCAGGGCAGGAGGAGCTCAGGGCAGGGAGATGCTGCATCCTGCTGGATCCAGCTCTGGGCAGGGAGCTGTGTTGGATCCATGGGCAGGATCCAGCTCTGCTGCAGGATGCTGAATCTCATTGCTGTGGGCTGTCACTTGGAGCTGCCAGTGGGACTCTGGTGTGGAGGGAGCATCTTGTAGGATTGGAGATGGAGCAGAAGTAACAGGTGTGTGGGAAGCCCTCACTGGTCATTAATAGTGTGAGAAGATACAAACCCACGTATAGAGTTCTACAGTAATTCTGCACACACACACCCCACCACACAACACCCGCCCTGTATTGCCACCTCTTGCTGCTTCCAGATTGAAATAAATTGCAGCTGTAGCCAAAGCTTCTGTTTTCTCTGCACACCAAGGGCCTACATCTCCCTTTGCCATGGCCTTTGTCCACCACAAAATTCAGGGTAAGTTCTGCAACAGCTGAAATCAGGCTTTTCCCAAGAGCAGGTGGGCACCAGCCTTCCGTGCAGGACTCCAGGGAAGGGGAATCTCCACGTGGCCCTGGCCTGGGGTGCCACTGGCCGAGCTGCCTGGGGGGACACGGGGCTGTGGGCACTCCCCTCCTGCTGAGCTGGTTCCGTGGGATGCAGCCCCACATTCCTGCCCTGGCGCAGGGGGCACGTGCTCGGTCAGTGTCTGGGCACTCTCCTCCTGAGCTGGCCCGTGACAATTATTTCCAGAGGAATTTTGAACCCTGTCCAGGACTGAAATAGCAGCATGGAGCAGCTCGGCCGCTGCAGGGTTATTTATAGCCCTCGGCTGCGGGCACACGGCCACTGCACGGGCTGGGCACACGCCGGGGCTGGGCAGCCAAAACCCCTGACACGGGGACAACAGTGCCCAGAGAAGGTGATAGATCTCCCCTCCCAAGTGTATGGCTTGTATGGAGGCAAAGCCGTCTTGGCAGAGAGAGGGAAGAAATTTATAGTGAAAAAAGAAAGGGGAAAGGGGCAGGGGCAGAGGAAAACCACGGGGGGCACATGAGAAAACACGAGGCCACACCAGCGCCAGAGGCGGATTCGATTGTCACTTTAATCCACAGACTGTGCATGCACTGTAAACAGGATCAGCAGGCAGGCTCGTTATTGGTGTTTTATTTGTCTTTAATATAAAAGTTACAGGTCTGAAATGTTTGCAGAAGATGCCACCATGGGGGTTAGTGGTAAATCTATAATACAACGGAACTGCTTGTGGGGAGAGGCCTGGGGCAGGGGGCTGGTGACTGGGAATGTCGCTTCTCCCCACTCCCTGCCCCGTGTGGAGGGGACTCAGACTCTTCCCTCTCCCCAAAAAGAGGTGATGGCCTTGAGGATGCTGCCTGCAAGATGGGAACACACTCATGGCCAGTCCTGCACATGTTCTGGGTTTCTGCTCCCCAGGGACTGCTCCTGGAGGGGGTGGTCTCTGTTCAGCAAAAGTGAAGCTGCTCCAGGCAAGAGGGGACCCTCCTTTAGGGTTCCTCAAGCCCTGAGAGCCTGGCCTGAGGGTGGGACACGAGCCAGGAGCTGTGGCTGGGACTGCTCAGCTGGGGATGACAGCAGAGGAAGGGGTGAAGGCGGAGGAAAGCTGGGGGGCACTGAGACCTCCCATCCCCACACCATGGGCTGAGCCTCTGGCTCCGGGGGCTTGGCAGAGGGCAGAGAGCAAGACCTCCTTTGGTGCTAATTGGGCTCGTGGGCTCAAGTGCAGGGAAGAACCTGGAAACGGCTCCCACTGGTTGGGGATCACGGGATCACAGAATTTGCTGACTTGAAAGGGACCCACCAGGGTCACCGAGTCCAACTCCTTGCACTGCACAGGACAACCCAAAAATCCCACCAGTGAGAGCACTGTCCAAACACTTCTTGATCTCAGACAGGCTTGGTGCTGTGCCCCACCACCCTCTGGGGGAAGAACTTTTTCCTGATTTCCAACCTAAACCTCCCTGACACAGCTGCAGCGGTTCCCTCGGGTCCTGTCACTGCTCACAAGTGAAGAGATCTGCACCTGCCCCTCCTGAGGCTGCTGAAGATCACAACGTCTCTCCTCAGTCTCCTCCAGGCTGAACAAACCAAGTGCCCTCAGCTGCTCCTCCTGAGGCCCCTCCAGACCCTTCCCCATCCTTGTGGCCTCCTTTGGACACCCTCCAATAGCTTAGTATTTTCTTTTATATAGTGGTGCCCAAATTTAGTGTTGTCAGCAAAGTTCCTCAGTATCTCTTCCAGTCCTGTGTCCAGGCTGTCAGTAACGATGTTGAAGAGAGCACAGGGCCAGGGGTGGAGCCCTGTGGAACCCCAGTCACTGCCATTTTTGGGGTGTGCTGTTGCCCAAGCCTGGAGCCACTTGCTCACCCCTCACGTAACGCGGTCACTCAGCTGGATGAAGACAAGCTGCCCCCCTCCTGTCCCTCTGAACCCCCAGGGCTGTGATTCCAGAGCTCCCAGCACACACAGCCCCCCCGGCACAGCCTGGCCACTGCACCCAAGGGCTGCTCAGAGCCACCAGGGTGAAGCCCACACCACATCCTGGGTGTGTTCATTGTCCTTTTCACCACCTCGCCATGCTGGGCTTTTAAAAGATCTTATTTACAAAGGAAACATGGATATTACTTCCTGGGAAGCCTTTGGGGATTGCAAAGCCTTGGCTGGACAAAACACACAGCTCCAATGTCCTCAGTGCCATGAAAATAAACCATTTTTGAAGTGTTCTAGCTCAGACGCTGTGGTTCAGCATGAAAAATTCCTGCTCCTCCTGCTCTGGGGCTGCACAGAACTGTGTTGGACCCCACACTCCCCTCTCCCAGATGCTCTCATGGGCAGGGGGTCTCTCTGTGCTTGGCCACTGTGTGAGCCTTCAGGAAAATAACCAAGCTGGGTAAAACCCTGGGCTGTCCCTCCCTCCTGAGAGTCAGGCAGAGCTGGCCAAGGCTTTGCAATCTGTTTGGAGAAGGAAAGGAGTGCAGCTCTGATTCACCCAGAGCAAACAGGGGCTTTAGCAGGCACAGAGCTGCCATTGAGAAATAAGTTAAGGATGCTCTGTGAAACTCCATGTCTGTATTCCTTGGGAATCCTGCCCTAAACCTGCAGGATTTTGTCAGAAGCCTGTAAAAACCTGTGACCACGTGACAGGAGCTTGTCTGGCAAGGCTGCTGAAACCTGCAGGGCACACCCACACCCACCATCCAAATACAAACCACGGGAGCAGGACAGAGAGGAGGGATGTGAGATGGCCTGGCTGGGGCTGCTGGGTGGGACACAGAGGGGGACAGAAGGGCTGAATAAGGCACACTGAACAGATTGGGGTTAACACTGTGTGTGTGGGAAATGACACCCCTGCCTTGCCCTTCCATGCTGGGCTGTCCCTGCCCTGCTGGCACCAGCATGGTGGGACTGGGGACAGGGACTTGCTGGGGGTCCTGCCAAAGCACAGCTCTCAAAGCACAGCATGGAGGGTCCCAACGGGGACCCCCAGAGAAAAACATTTGGCAACAGAGAGAGGAGAGAGGAGTGGGTGGGAGGACAGGGTGGCTCAGCTGGGCACAGGGCTCCTTCCAGGTTCCCACTTCCAACCCAGACATGGCTCCTTCACGAGGCTCCTGGCCCTGCTCTGCAGCCAGTGCCCACCTGGCTGCCCCGAGCCTCCTTTATCCAGCACTCGGAACAACATTGTCACTGGTTGTGGATTTTATACAGACTGGTTTGCACTTGTCTTTTTTTTTTTTTTCCTATAAACTCATTGGTATTCAGACATGCATCAAAAATCCTCATGGGGTTCTAAACACTAGGTATGTACAGTCTGTGTCCTACAGCGTTTCCTGTGCAAAAGCTAAGTACCATCGCTAAGAGACACGGGGTCACAGGCAGGTGACCCCAGTACCTGGGCAGTCCATGTTTCCAGGTTCAGAGGGATTTACTGTTGCTTAAATAACGAGATCTGAGAGGAGGAGGGGGTGTGATGACTGGAGATGGCGGGTCCCTGCCCACATTTTCAGTGCCTCTTCTGTATCCACGACCGGTGCCTTCCTCCCGCGAAGAAGGCGCCAGAGATCTGGGGTGAGCCGAGACCCCTGTAAACACAAGCAGCTCTCTGGAAGCAGAGCTCCTCTGGCAGGCAGCAGGAGACACTTCCATCCTCACGAACACGTTGGGAAGGTGGCATTGCAGGGGAGACTCCAACCCTTGGCTTCCACGGCCGCTGCTGCCCGACGCCGCTCCGGAGATGAGTCAGTGGGTGCTGAGCTCCTGCTGCCCCTGCTCTGGATGGAGACAAGAGCCAGGGAACACCTGAACGCAACAGGCCAGCAAACCAGCAACACGCTTGCGTGGGACACTCCTTCCACACAGCTCTGTCCCCTGGGTTAAAGCTGGTTCATGGCACAGAGGGACGGGAGGAGGAGGAGGGCGAGTGCAGCGAGCACCGGCCGATCTCTGCCCTCGGCTGCGCCGGCGCCTCGCGCCCGGCATTCCCACCCCCAGGGATGGCTGCCAGCTGGGAGGGAGGGTGTGTCATCCAGTGACAGGTACAAACATTGAACTCCAGTCTCATAGCTGCCCTCGGCGCCTCTGCGGAGCAATTCTCCTCGCACAACCCCTCCTCCTAGGTTTTCTCTTCCCGATCTGTTTTCCGCCTCGTGATGTTCCGAGGTTTGATTTTCAGGGACAGTTCCCACAGGGCCTCCTCAGCCAGGTGGTCGCTGAAGTCGTTGAAGAATGACACAATGTCGTCGTTCCTTTTGATGTCGTAATGTCTGGAAAACCACAGAGGAGCTGCAG